GAAGCAGCGCAATGCGTGTTTTTTTCTCGCGGGCTTGCGGTTTCTCTGCGGGGCTGCCCGCTGAAGCCGGAATTTGCGGGGCAACCCGCTGACTCACTTCTTCATCTTGTTTTTTTTCTTCTTCTTTTTTCCGGGGGCGTCAGCCTCCAGGGACTCCGGATCAGCGGAATTTCCCGCTTCCTCTGCCGGGGCTGCGCCAGCGGAAGTTTCCGCTGCCTCTGGGTCCGCCCTCTCTGGAGAGCAGGAAGCAGACGGCACGTCGACAGGCGGGCCTGCCGCTTCCACTGTTTCAGCCGCCAGCCCAAGGGGCTGCTGCCACTTCCTCTGCAGCAGGCGCCGCTGCAGGGGCGGCCTCTTTGGCATCAGCAGGCTCTGCGGTAGTGCCCGCTGGCTGCCCCTCATCCTTTGCAGTTTGGGCCGCTGGGGCTGCAGCCTCCGCCGCTTGCACAGGCTCAAGCGGCTCGACCTCTGCCGCTTCTGCGGGCTCAAGCGGCTCTTCCGCGGCAGCCTCTCGGGCAAGGGCGGCGGGGGGTGGACTCAGCTCCAGCTCCGCGGGCTCCTCCCTGACCGGGTCCGCGGGGGAGGTGGGGCTTGGTAAGGCTGGTGAGGGCTTCGCCTCGGGCTTCTGGCGCTGGCGCGGTTCCTCCGCGGACACCGCCTGCGGGTGGCGGTCTGCAGCTGCCTGTCGCCGCTCCTGCCCGCGGGCCTTCCGCCGCTGCCTGGCAGCGACGCTGCGCCGTTCAAACCTGCCTCCTTCCACCGACTTCCATCCCTTGAAGTCGGGGCGGTAGATCCAGGCCCAGCCCTTGGGCCACTCCGCTTCCTCCTCCTGCGGCCGTCCCGCTTCCGCTTCCTGCTCAGCCTGCTACCGGGGCTGCCCGCTAGAGCGCTTGCTACGGCTCCTCTCGCGGGGTTTCCGCGGGCGGCGGCGCCCCCAGCTATCCCGGCTGGAGAAGCTCGGCTCACGGGGGCGGTGCCCGCTACGCCCATCCTCCCACCCGTGGCCAGACCACTTCTGGTCCTGCCAGTCCCTGCCACGGGTCTTGGGCGTCCCAGTCAAGCTCCCGTCTGCGGCGCTGCCTGCTTTGCTCCCTTGTAGGGGGCCGGGAGCCTTTGCGGTGCTGCCCGCTTTCTTCCCAGCTGCGGCGGTGGCCCCGCTCTTCCTCCTCCTCCTCTTCCCAGGCGCGGCGCTGCCCGCTACTGCGAGGCTTGTCCCGCTCCAGTCGTTGCTGTCGCCTTCTTCTTCCCAGGTCCATCGCCACGGCATTGCGCCGCGGCCCCAGCCAAGCCAGAAATGGCTGCAGGCGGCCATGCCAATGCCATGGTTCAAAAAACAAATAAAACGAGTCAAAGCAAGACATGGAAATTCATGAAAATGCGACCGAAATTCATGGAATGAAAGCCAAAAGTGCAACGCAAAAAACAAGTCAAGCACTCAGCTGCAGCCACCCACCCCTCCCCCCAACAAAACGAAACCCATCATCAAACCCTTGTCACTTGCGGCAACTTGCGGCTGCTTTCTTTTTCCAAGGGCAGGCACTGCAGGCATGTCACATGTCTGGAAGCGGCGGCGGCCACAAGGGCCGCAACAGTCGGAGCTTAAGGAGCTCAGAGAGCTTGATGAGCTTGAGCTTGAGCTTGAGTCGGAGTCGGAGCCGTTGGAGCCTGCGTCCGACTGGCCCGACTCGGCGCGGCTGGACTCCGCTTTCCGCTTGCGGCGCCCCGGCTTTGACGGCTTTGGCTTGGTCTTGGGGCGAGCTTTCTTGTCTGCCTTAGCCTTAGCCTTGGGCTTTGCTTTTGCTGCGTCTGCGGGGCGGACTGCTCCTGCAGCTGCAGTCTGCCTGGCTTCCCCAGCCGGGCAGGCCGGGCTGGCAGCCTGCGCCGCTTCTGCGTCGTCCAGCTCTTGGTCTGTCTTCACGCTGGAGGGCAGCTTGCCAGCTTAGCGGTCAAAAGCTCTTGCGGCAAAACATCCGCTTCCTTGATCGACACAGCGGCGTGGGTCCGCTTCTTGGTGTGGGCTACAGCCAAGAGGCACCAGGTCATGAGAGTCCTTTTGGCCAAGTCCTTGGAAGTCTCATTTGGGCCTGCGCGCATGGACTTGGTGCAGCCTGTGGCATGGGAGAGCTTGTGGTAAGGGCGCTTGGCTTGCCACTGGCCGTGCGGCGGGCGTTTTGCTGCGTCAGTCCAAGTAAGGCGGAGTGGGCCCCAGTCGAAAGAGTCGGGGTGATGTTCAAGGAGGCGCAGGGCGGTAGACCTGCTGGCGCTGGCGCTGGTGGCAAGGTCAAGCGCTTTGGCTAAGCGCTTTTGGGAAGAACTTGCAGAGCTTGCCGCGGCGACTGGGCCCGCCGCTGCTTCTTCTGCTTGCGCCTGCGATGATGCAGCAAGAGGGCCGCTGGCTTTTGACCCGTCGCTACTTTCGCATTCGCGGGGCCCTTCAGCCCCAGTCCGCTGCTGCCCGTGACTCTCCTGGTCTGCTTGCGCCTGGCCCTCATCAGCGTCATCCTGCTCATCCTCCGAAGACAAAAGACGCAGCAAGGCGTCGCAGTCACTTGTGTGCTCAGAGTCAGCCGCTTCTGATTCTGCCTGCGGGCTTTCAGGGGCATCTGCGTGGCTTGGGCTTGCTGATCGGCGGCCACGACGACCTGCTTTGTCTTGAAGGCACTGCATTTGATCCAAGTGTTGCCGCGTGCGCTGAACGTGAAGTACACCAGCTGGCCATGTCCTTTAAGGATGTCCAGCCAGGTTCTGCGTCATATCTACATTACTCAGCCGACTTCAAACCAAGCCATTGCGTGACTGCTGGCAGATCGCACCTGCGTGCGCAGTTTGAAGACTACTTGCTGCCGCAGAACACCAAGACGGTCGGGGCCCGTTGCATGGCCCGATTTATGAAATGAAAAAGACCGACTATGATGAGATTGAGGAACAGGTGGTGTGGTATCACCAGCGAAAAAAAAGGTTCGCGGAAGCTCATCTCACAGGCTCGGCAGAACCTCGTGATCCAGTGTGTGCGCAGGGACTTCAATGAGTGGATGTTCTTTTTTACGGGCATTGCATGGCCGAGCATGCTGCGTTTGATATATAAGATGCTGCTGGCTACAGTTGGAAAGCTTGGATACTGTCGGCATGTCGAGGCACAGCGACGTCCGCTGACACATCTTTTGTGGTGTGCGCGTATTGATGCCCTTCCTGCTGCAGTGGAATTCTTGAATGAATTGCAGACCAAGTCCAGAAATGTACGTCACGCACGATTTCAGCCTGGATCCACAGTACTTGAAGGGTGCGGGCTATCGCAACAAGCACGATGTTGTGGAGATGCGGGGTCGGGCAATGTGAGGTGTTTGGCTACGTCACTGCAAGCTACGGCGCTGCGCATCGCATGAACAAGAGAATCTACGCACACGTGGCCTGTATTCCCTTCTCATCCGGCAGCCGGAAGGGCTGCGTTTTCTGGCTGTGCCAGGCCCTTGCACTCATGGGCAATGCTGGCGCCATAGCACTTCCACAGGACCTTGAGCAGAGCTTTCATTTGCTGGCAATGGAATTTCACTGCCCCATGCTGCTATTGCCATTGCCCATCTGCTGCCCTGCATGAAGCACGGAAATTATTATGCGCGCGACCCGGAGCTGCTAGCAAGGTTGGTGCGGGAGAACGACATGATCTGGTACAAACCAATGCAGCAGCAGTTGCGTGCGGTGTCATGCATGCCACCACCGACATCATTGAAGAGTGTTGCAACTCCCGCAGCATCCACGTTTGAAAATGTGCCAACTCCAGTCTCCACAGCAGAAAACGTGCCAACTCCAGTCTCCAGCATACAAATCACACTGCGTGGGCAGATGCAGTCTGGCAGCGGTGTTCCATCCTCAAAGCGCGCTGTGGTCATCCTGGAGTTCCCAACCTGCAAGCGACAACGGGAATGTGCCGAGGCAGAAACGCACTCAGATGTGAGCCCAACATTGCAATGGCAGCCTGACTGGAATTGTGAATTTCCGGCCAAGTAGATATGTAGTTTCCTAGTTCATGAGCCGTGCATGCACACCTGGACTTGCGTGCGTCCAGGTCAAATTACATTCTTCTGCCCGTCGTTTCTATTCCCATTCCTACGCCCATGACTCATTCCCACTCCAATCCCCCATTCGGAACGGGAATGGGACTGGGGACGCTCATTAGGCGCAACTGGGCGCGGGGAAACTGGAATGGGGCTGGGAAGGAGAACTGAGAACGGGAACTGGGATGGGAATGGGAATGGGAATGAATGGTGATGAGTGGAGAACGGGAATGAACAGGAACGGGAGGCGGGAATGGGAACGTTCTTCTCATTTCCGTTCTCAGCCACATTCCCGTTCCCATGCGCATTCTCACTTGCATGGGAGTGGGAAGGAGTGGGCGTGGGCATGGGAAGGGACTGCCATGCCCGTTGCCGTTCCTTTTCCCTATTTTTGTTCTTGTTCGTTCTTGGGAGCGGGAACGCGATAGGAACGGGAACGGACGGGAACCACGGGACGGGAGCAGGGGGAGCGGGACGGGGACGCCGCGGGAACGAGTGGGAATGGGAATGGGAGCGAGTTGCGCTAGGGATTGTGGGTGCTATCAGGTTTCTTTTCATTGTGTTCTGTTAATGTCGGACGATTGCATGTGCATACTGATATTACATCATCTGTTTTGCGCATTCGCGCTGAACACTCAATGGTTTCTCAGGCTCGTTGCAGAACTCTTCGACATGAGCCATTCCACCATGATGCCTAGCAGCCTTCGACACTTTGGCTTTGCTCCCCTGTTTTCAAATGTATTTGGAGCCTCTACGTTGTTGTGAGGTAGCATCATTGCATGAGTCTGGACAGTGCTTTGCCTTGAGCATAGACAGAAAGCATAGTCATTGACCCAACGAGAACTCAACATCCATATACTCCGCGGTGGCAGCGGAGCTTGACTTTTACCAAGATAGTAAGTCAATTCGATTTCCTGCCTGATCCGGCAGAAAATGTTCTGTTTAGAAATGTGGATGACATCTCGACAACTGCCATCCGGTGTCATTGCGGCGCGGAGCATGAGCGCCGCAACAAGCGGCAAGCTGGAGGCCTTTGCCGTGCAGCGCTCAGGTAGGCATTGTGAGGGGGAATGTGAAGTGAGTGACTGAGTGGGCGCACCTAGGGAAATTCTGCTTGCTTGCTTGCAAGAGGAGTGCACAGTCTTCAGGTTGATGCTGCTTCCGTGGCAGAGAACTCCCGGCAGGACGTGTGAGCCTGAGATATGCAGCCGATTGAGACACGTCTAGGTTGCAGCCGCCTTCAAACGGGATGGCCTCGCCGTGGTGAGACAAATCTTGCCACCGGCCGTGGCAGAGGCCCGGACTTTGAGCGAACGAGGTGAGTGCTTCAATTGGAAGGCTCTTTGCAGCCGCGTTGATGCAGAACTTCGAGCTAGACAGTCTGAAGGAGACGACAGCTATTTTGGCAACGTCTACGGATACGAGGCTACAACTGAGAAACCTTGTGATGTTGATGTGAGCGCTCAATCCAAGGACGCAGGGCAGCGCTGGGATCTGAAGCTTCGACTCTCGCCTGAGGCGTCCAAGTAGGTTGCAGCTAGCCAAGTTGTGACATTTGCGGTGAGGTGAAAGAAGCGATGCGTGCCCTTCTGGAGTGCCTACAAGGCGTTACTTGGCTTCAGCTGGCAAATTGGACGAGTTTTGTCACAGGAAAAGATTGCTACGGCAGGTGCTAGAGGCTTTGCGGCCAAGTTGGCAGCTAACCGAGCTCGCAGCCTGGATCTCTGTCCAAGAGGCACATTTCGGCACTGCAAAACTTGAGATGGGTGTGGCAGCTTCTTGGCTCGCTGAGGCTATGTGCACTTTCCCGTCAGATCCGGGGCAACCAGTGCGCCGGCCAAGACGGCGCGCCTTGGTTCAAGCTTGCGGTGTGAGGTGCACGCTGACACCTCTCACGTCTATGATCAGCAGGCCTGCAGAAGCTATATGGAAACACAGTTGTCTCAATAGAAATGGTGTTTGGTAAGAAGCCGGATAGAGAACGGACTGGTTCTGCGTGTGGATATCCCAACGTTTTGCCGAGCCCGGGATATGTTTCAGGTGGTGACCATCTTTGCCGGGCCGCCCTGTTTCAGTGTGGGAAGGGGGCATGACGCTCCAAAACGCCTACTAGGTAGCTCTACATGACGTGCCCACCGAGCTGGGCCCCGAGAGCGTCCAAGTTGGAATCCTGAGACAAATTTCTAGCAAAGGTAACAGGAAGTCTCTGTGGACTTCTGAAGGGAAGTCCTCTCTGGGACCCCCGAATATGTCAAGTATTCGAAGCTCCTAGTTTTGTGGGGCATGTTCAACGATGTCTAGGGAACCCACGGAAGCGCAGGCCAGAGCGATGAGGTGTGTGGCTCCATGAGGCGAGGGCCCACCAAGATGTATCCGAGGAGCCACGTGGCGATGTGCTTAGAATAGGTGGCAAGCATACGCCTTGAATCTGCTTTTGCTTCCACCACATTTGTTTTGCAGATGGTGCAAACTCATTTTTATTCGAGGACGGGGAACTTCACTTGGGTATGAAGGAGGCCTTGTCGTTGACACGGTTTTTGACACTTCTAGAGGATTTAGCTTGAGCAATCTGTAGACATTTCCCCATGTTGTGGTTCTCTCTTGACAGGTTGATGAAAGCAGCGCAGTACTCTGCACACTGTCGTGCGGAGATTGTGTCCACGACCCAGTGCCTTTTTCGCTTGTATTCTATCGGGTTGTCTCAATGTTGGCGACCATCACGATTGGTGGCATTGGTGGGTTTCCGGTTTCCTGTTGTTCTCCTTTACAACCACCCCAAGAAGGGCTTATTATAGACACGGGTATAGACACACACACAGCCGCACAAATAATGGAACAACACAGGTCTTGAAAGTGCAGCGAGTACTGGCAGTGGTGTGACTTTGGTCCACTGTTCATGTGACCGTCACGAAATTCTCCCCCCCCCAAACCCCCCTCCCCGCAGGACCAGGTTTGCCGCAAAGACAAAGGACACACACAAACACACAAACACACAAACACACAAACACACAAACACAAACACACAAACACACAAACACACAAACACACAAACACAAACACACAAACACACACAAACACACAAACACGGAGACAAACACACAAACACACAAACACACAAACACACAAACAGACAAACAAACACACAAACACACAAACACACAAACACAAACACACAAACACACAAACACACAAACACACACAAACACACAAACACACACACACAAACACAAACACACCAGCACACAAACACACAAACACATAAACCAGCACACAAACACAGAAACACACAAGCACACAAACACACAAACACACAAACACACAAACACCCCATCACAAAAAGCACACAAGCACACAAACACACAAACACACAAACACACAAACACACAAACACAAACACACAAACACAAACACACAAACACACAAACACACACGCAAACACACAAACACACAAACACACAAACACACAAACACATAAACAAGCACACAAACACCGAAACTCACAAGCACACAAACACACAAACACACAAACACACAAACACACAAACACCCCATCACAAAAAGCACACAAAAACACAAACACACAAACACACAAACACACAAACACACAAACACGCAAACACACAAACACACAAACACACAAACACACAAACACACACAAACACGCAAAAACACACAAAGACAAACATACACAAACACACAAACACGCAAGCACACAAGCACACAAACACACAAACACACAAACACACAAACACAGAAACACAGAAACACACAAACACACAAACACACAAACACACACACACAAACACCCCTTCACAAAAATCACACAAACACAAACACACAAACACACAAACACGGAGACAAACACAGAAACACACAAACACACAAACACACAAACACCCCAGCACACAAACACACAAACACACAAACACACAAACACACAAACACACAAACACAGAAACACACAAGCGCACAAACACACAAACACACAAGCACACAAGCACACAAACACACAAACACACAAACACACAAACACACAAACACACAAACACACAAACACAATCACAGAAATACACAAAAACACAAACACGCAAACACACAAACACACAAACACACAAACACACACAAACAGAAACACACAAACACACAAACACAAACACACACAAACACACAAGCACACAAACACACAAGCACAAACACACAAACACACAAACAGACAAACAAACACACAAACACACAAACACAAACACACACACAAAAACACAAAACACAAACACACAAACACACAAACACACACAAACACACAAACACACAAACACAAACACACAAACACACCAACACACCAACACACCAACACGCAAACACACAAACACACAAACACACACACACACAAACACACACAAGCACAAGCACAGAAACACAGAAACAGAGAAACACAGAAACACAGAAACACAGAAACACAGAAACAAACAAACACACAAACACACAAACACACAAACACACAAACACACTCACAAGCACACAAACACACAAACTCACAAGCACACAAACACACACACACACCAACACACAAACACAAACACACAAACACAAACACACAAACACAAACACACAAACACACACACACAAACACACAAACACACAAACACACAAACACACAAACACACAAATACACAAACACACAAATACAGAAACACACACACACAAACACACAAACACACAAACACACACAAACAGAAACACAGAAGCACAGAACCATACAAACACACAAAACACAAAGACAGAAACACACAAACACACAAACACACAAACACACAAACACCCCATGACAAAAAACACACAAACACAAACACAGAAACACACAAGCACACAAACACAGACACACACACAAACACACAAACACACAAACACACACACAAACACCCCTTCACAAAAATCACACAAACACAAACACACACACACACACAAACACACAAACACACAAACACACACACACAAACACACAAACACACAAACACACAAACACACAAACACACAAACACACAAACACACAAACACACAAACACAGAAACACAGAAACACACAAACACACAAACACACAAGCACACAAGCACACAAACACACAAACACAAACACAGAAACACACAGACAAGGACGCAAACACACAAACACACACACACAAAGACACAAACACAATCACAGAAATACACAAAAACACAAACACGCAAACGCACAAACACACAAACACACAAACACCGAAACACAGAAACACAGAAGCACAGAAACACACAAACACAGAAACACAGAAACACAGAAACACAGAAGCACAGAAACACAGAAGCACAGAAACACAGAAACACACAAACACACAAACACACAAACACACAAACACACAAACACACAAACACACAAGCACAAAAACACACAAACACACAAACACAAACACACACAAACACACAAACACACAAACACACAAGCACAAACACACAAACACACAAACAGACAAACAAACACACAAAAACACAAACACACACACACAAAAACACAAAACACAAACACACAAACACACAAACACACACACACAAACACACAAACACAAACACACAAACACACAAACACACAAACACACAAACACACAAACACACAAACACAAACACACACACACAGACAAGGACGCAAACACACAAACACACACACACAAAACACAAAATAACACACACAAACACAAAGACACAAACACACAAGCACGCAAGCACACAAAAACACAAACACAAACACACGCAAACACACAAACACACACACACAAACACACAAACACACAAACACACAAACACACAAACACACAAACACACAAACACACAAACACACAAACACACAAACACACAAACACACAAACACACACACACACACATGTTTTGCGATTTGTCTTGAAAGTGCGGTAGTCCCCCCGGGCCCGTTGTCCAGCACGATCGGAGCAAGCGCATGATGACATTTGCAGTTGCAGAGCATCTTCTCACCGTCACTCCATGTACACTTCTGATAGCCAAGGTCTTGATGGACAGCAGGCTGCTCCATTGTGGCACCGCAAATACATCGGATTTGCCTGCAGCTCAGTCTGGCTAGTTTCTTAGTGTTCACGCCTGAGCGGTGATGCCGTGTCACCTCTGACGGAGAGAACACACCAAGCAATCCCCAATCAGCGTGCTCGATCTGGGTTTGACAACACACTTTGTTCTCGGCCAGTCACGTCACAGACACATCCAGGTGCAAGTTTTGCGTTAGTTTGTGATATTTTGCCACTGCACCAGGCACAGGTTCTTGTTTTATACCTCCTGGATGCCCCCGGCACGGAGGCACTTGCGGCAAACACGATTGGGGGTCGGCGGTGGGCATTCGGCAGAGCAGCCCCTCCAGACGGCCGTAGGTTGGCCTCATTTTTGGGAAACAGACCCAAAAAGCACCTGTGAAACAAAGAGATTCAAACCAGGACTGCCGTTCCTGTAAGATCCTGTTCTCTCAGTCAAGGCCTCCCATTGGCTCTGTAATGGCAATCTCAGCCGGCAGGTCGCGTGGTTCCACCAACACCATCCTGGCGGAATATGAGGAAACATCGCAAAACACATATTGCTGCGTGATGTTTCCGGGCTGGCTCGGCAGATTTGGTTGTCCAAACCTTGGCCGGATGGCAGCAGACGGACAAGACCATGTGCTTGCATCAGAGCTTGACGATTTGACCAGCGACCATTGACAATGTGCCAGGAGAAGCTGTCTCTCCGCAGGTGGCAAGAGTGGACGGCGGAAGACTTTGCATGCAGCCAAAGTGTTGCACAGTGAGATGTAGAGAAAGGCCCGAAAGCGGCCATCTCTTTTGATTGCAAAAAGGCTGGTACGTAGCTTGCCACCATATTGCATATGCTGCATGTGCATTCGCTCATGACATGGAAACGCCACGTCGCTATGTGCCCAAGCCGGACGGGCCTGGCTTTGGACACGACCCGGAGGCACAGCGCTGTGCCTTTCGTTCTACCTCTGGCCCGGCCGCTGGGTCAAAATTGACCGACCCGGGTCAAGGGAGTGCAAGAAGAAAGGCATGCTTGCTTAAGGGGAACCCAGGATCAACAAATCTTTGTTCGATTCATAGAGGTCCCGTTCAAGAGGCGACTTTGTACTTTTTGGGAAGCACCGCTGCCGATATCAATCCGCAGAGTTTACTGGTTTGAGCCAAACATGAACCTTATTCTTTGGCAGCGACCTCTTGCACTGAACACCGCGCCAGGGTGTACACACGTCCTCCCGGGTCAAGCCACGGGCATTCCGCAAGGACAAGCATCAGAATGGCTGCGCGAGCTTTTGTTGGAGAAGCTTCAGTTCTTTTCAAGAATCCTGATGGAACTAGTGAAACACGTGGCAATTAGCTTGTGATCGATGTCTGTGCTTTTCTTTGTCCACCCTTGTCCAGGTAGCTCAAATTCAACTCGGTCTGCGTTCCTGGAAGACTTGGAGCCAACATGTTTCTGATGAATTTTGGGTACAGCGTACAACTATCCCTGAAGATTGGGTTATTTTCCACAACAGGCTACCCTCAAAACGAGACACCTCCATGTCAACCCCAGGACTGCTGGGGATCCCGACTGCCCATGGAGCCGCGCATGGCGAAGGCGGATGGGCGCCTGATGTGCGCATTGGAGACAACGGTGGGAGCATGTCTTATGAAAACTGGAAACCCTGCTGGAGTGGCTGTTTGTTGTGTTGCTGTTTGGCTTTCTGGCTTGCTTGCTCTAGGCTTGCTTGCGAGCTTGCTTGCTTGTAGGCGTGCTTCCAGCGTGCTTGCTTGCTTTGCTATGCTTTGCTATGCTTTGCTATGCTTTGCTATGCTTTGCTATGCTTTGCTTTGCTTTGCTATGCTTTGCTTTGCTTTGCTTTGCTTGCTTGATTCTGTAGGGAAGCTCGGGGAATTCCGAATCTATCCGGGAATAGGTTATATTTGGCCTTTGCAGAGTTATCTCGGCCAAAGGCTACTTGATTTTGAGGTTTCCTTCGATATCCGTTACCAGGGCCAGGCTTGGGGAAGCTGGGCAGCTGGGCAGCTGGCAAGAAATGACCGGAGGGGCTCGCTGGGAGAGCTACAGCCGAAGCCCGAGGGCAGGAACGGGTAAAGGCCCGGCTTGGCCGCAGGCTTGCTACGGGATTTGACCCCGCTTCTCGGGGACGAGGTGACTGAGACTTTTAGGGACGAGCTAGGGGGCGCCGCGGCTGGCTCGGTCTTCGCAACAGGACACCAACGTTTTGCAGGCACAAGCTGGTCGGTGACCAGAATTTGGAACCACCAGCCTGAATTTGGAACCACCAGCCCAAGCAACATAAATTGCTTGGTCCTTAGTGTCGGCTTCAGATGTTAGTTTTCGCGCCTTTGCCCGATCACGAGAATATTTGCTTGGCATGCACCCATCGCCAGGCTTCGAGCAGAAGCCGCTTTGCCGCAGGCCCACGCCGAATGCTGTGCGATTCTGACTGACAATGGCCTTTGTTTCTTTGCCATGTGAACCTTGAAGGGCAAGCAACATTTTTCATGACCACTCGTTGTTACTGTTGGGATGTCGTGATGATCATATTGCGTGGGCATGTTTTGTGTAGTGTGTGCGCCACATCACTGCTTTCGCTTCGGAAGGGATTGCCTTCGCTGCCCTGGCATTGCTGGTCCACCACCTGGGAGGCCAACTGCTTTGAAATGCCGCAGCTCTGTGCGGAAGGGAGGTAATCTCGAGCCAATGCCTATGGCTGTTGATCTCAAGAGCTGCGGATCCTGCCAGTCCCGCGGTCCAACTGTCTGGTGCAGGCACACGGCTGTTCATTGCGCCCCACGCGGGTGAGACTTTCGGAATCGCTCAGCGGGCTGCAAAGGCGAGGATAAGGGGCTGAGGACTTGGCAAACCATAGCTTGTAACCCCTGACCGCAGTCTGAAAGAAGGGGGTCACGTCCTTCATTTCACACTTGAGGTTTGAGCAGTTGCTTGTTCTCATGTGGGGCGGCCCACGAATGGTCCTTGATTTCTCTTCAGAGCCAGCCACACTGGGGTTCTGAAACCCGGGCATGACCTTTTTTGGAGGGTACCATACCTTTTCTTTTACAGGGAGGCTAAATTGGACAACAGGTAAACCACCAAACTGCAGGCAAGCCACAGGCAAGCCACAGGCAAAGAGAGGCTTGAAGGGCCAAAGGGAAGCCACCGCAGGCCGAAGAGCCGCCCATTCGAGGCTTCGGTTTCAAGCCCCCGGCTCGAGGCGCGCTCCGCGCTTGTGATCTGTGCGGCGGAAGCGACGCCGGGCGCACCGCAGGGGGCCTCACGGGTTGGGGGGCCAGTGGATGGGCCGAATGGCAGAACCATCCTAAATGATCTTGCCTTGCATTGGTTCAGCACAATCAGAGCTGCCGGTGCCCAAACTTTGCTGCCTCAGAACAAAAGAGAGAAGTATCGCAACAGCAGAAGTATTTTGTCAAGTCTGACCATGGTTACATCTGCCCATCCGCCTTTGACGCTGTTTCAGTGCAAGTTCCGCCTGGTGCAAAGACGCAATCCGTAGTGCCCTGAATGCCTTCGTTAACCAAGGTCATGCCGCACCATTCAGCTCATGACCCATCCTTCCTCCCATCCTCCGATCCTCCTCGGCTGCCTTTTGGTTTGTCGCCCTAGTATATTTCCATTCCTGGCTCTTTTGCTGCTTCTCCTCTCTGCCTGCTATTCATTTCATCCGGTCTGCCTTTTTCACTTTGATTGTTATTGATTCTTGTGATTTCTTTCTCGTACAACTTGGCATATCTACTTGCTACAGTGTGTTTCATTCTTTTCCTTACCTTCCTCATGTTTGTGTTCCCCCGCGTTCTCCATATTTGTCTTCCCCGCTATCTCTTCGTCTATCTCCTCATTTTGCAGCTTGCACAACCCTCTCCCCAAGCCAAGGCCTGTAGATGTCGAGGAAGAAGAGGCGGCGGCCAGCTACTTCAAGGTAAAGTGCTTGGCTCAGCTTGAAGAGTGTTGCCTGGTTCCGAGCCAACAGCAACTCGAGCTCGGCCTCATTTGGAAGGAGATGGCGTGCCTGGCAAGCTCGTGTCAACCGATGACTGGAGTTTGTCCGTTTGTTTACCGCGCCCATCACACCGAGGATGCGCAAGAAGGAGTACACAGTCGAGCAGCAAATGACGCGAAAGGAGAGGCTGACCGAGCCACCCAGCCCTGCTTGAGGTTCGCATCGCTCGACACCAATTCCTGGCAATGCTTAAGGCATGGTTGCAACATTTGGCCACTTGAGAGACGAAGCAGCAGTCCATTTAAAAAATGATTCTGACAACAAATTAAGTGTTCCTGATGAGATCACAACCATGCATGCATCCAGGCCACAGACCAACTTTTGTTGGCGGCCGTCCTTTTAACATTTTCCAGGGCAATGTGGCATTCTTTTTGGGAGGAGTATCCGCAAAATCAGTTGGTGGCTACGAATCTCCAAATATAAAAGATGTCCACCAAAGGGTCCCCATTTCAAAGTCACACCCCAAGGCACCTGTCTGATTTCAGGACAGCCTGTTTGGCGGTTTTCTAATTAGTGAGACCCCATATCAACCTCGAAAGACGTGAACCATTGCACCGGGAACCGAGTGGCAGGCGGCTTCGGAAGCGCAAGGGCAAGTTCGTCTACCGCGGGCCGAAGCCATACGACCCGGACCGCTTCACCACGGCCCGAGCCGAAGAGCACCGAGGGGAGACGGGGAAATCTTGTTTTTTGCCGTTTTGCCCATGGCCCAATTTTTTCGGCTCCTGTGAGAGTTGACTGCTTTTGAATGTCTTTGCGTGGGCTTTTGGGGGTGTTGACAGGCGGGGGGACTTGGGTGTTTTTTGAGCCCGGATCAGTGATGATTTCGGCGGCCAGGTTTCTTTGCAGGCGAGACTGTTTCCGAAGCAAGCCTCCAACACCAAGATTATGAACCAGGCCATGGCGCAAGTGCAACCAGAGAGCCCGAGATAGAGAGAGAGAGAGAGAGAGAGCGAGAGACGGAGAGGGAGAGAGAGACAGAGTCCAATGATCAAGATTTGTAATTACATGCTGCCTGGAGATTGTTGAAGAACTGCGGCGCATCACGGGACACCATCCGACGGCCTGGCCCTTGGCAAGGCTCCGGTGAGTCCTGCACTCCGGGATGAGGATTTTCTTCAGTGACCATAGTGACCCACGTGCTGAGATTGTCTACTCCAAGCAGAACATCGCTCTATTCGGGGTGCGGCAGGCCGCAAGAGTCCTGTGGCCATGTCGGTGCATTGTGTCCAGGCGTCCGATGGAAAGAGCATGTGTCTGTTTGCGTTCGACATTTGCTCACTCCTGCCCTTTTTCCAGGGCGACCCGGTTGGTGCAAAAGTGAACTTGGAGGGGCAGCTGATGTGAGGGCCTTGCTCACATGTCGCAACCACAGGCAGAAGTGCATCGTTTGGAGCTGAGACATACACCATTGATATTGCTAAGGAAGGACTTCCTTCAGAGACTAAACACCATCATCCTGCCACGTGTGCGAGACTTTGAAGGTGCGGTGCAGGTGATGGTTGAAATGAACACCTTGATACAGCGCCCGACACAGTCTCACAGAGCTGAGAGCATGTTGGAAAGGCGCATGTAACTTGTTGCAAAGCCTTGGCAGGTCTCTTTCCGAATTCCTTCGACAACAATGGGAATTTCTGGTTCAGCTTGCCAAGTCAGGCGTGCTCTTGCCCCAGATTTAAGTCGGGCAGATTGGATGCGAGCAGATCGCCAGGAGCCGTTCAAAGAGCTGGATGACTTGGTGGATTCGCGGGTGCGCCATGCTGCTTCAAATCGGCCAGCAACAGCAATGAGACACGATTCTGTTGGCCGGGAACCGCTTTTGTTCAGGTTAGCTTTAAGCATTTCCAAGATCTTGCATTGCACTCGTCTCTGGAGGGCCCAAGAAATGATTGGTCATCTGGGTGCAGTGACTTTTTCGGACCGGACTTCCAAACAAGCCTGGAAGAAGTTGGCAACAACAGATCCCAATGACCATCTAGATAACGCCTGAAACTGTTCACTCCAGGGGGCCACGTGTTTGCGAGGCGGTGTAAAGTGCCGACAATTCGGTCGAGCCCACATGCTCAACGGCCAATAATGACCATCATTCACTGTAGTAACGGGGACGACCTTGGAACACTCAGCAAATTTCTAATAAGCTACAGTGCTTGCATCACACTGAATATTGACTGTGGCTCACATTGGGTGTAATGTTTCCAACAGGAGCTTGTCCATGGCTTCCAGATCGGCATCCTGAACAACTGCTTCTCGCAGCCTGCGACTTAATTATTGCATGCACTCAATGACCCAACTATGCACGAGGATGCGGAGCTTTATTTGTTAGCCTGCTCCGTGAGGGAAGGGGGGATGTTCGTATGGAGGATCGCTTGCCAGCGTTTGTGGGCTATCGTACACTGTCTAAGTTTGCAGGAGTTTGTGGCAGATGAGGGACGCTTACATGCTACTTTCAGAAAGCCAAAGCGACAGGGGGACTAAAAAAAAAATTCCGACCAACACCAGAATCTCAGAAGGACTCACTTCTCGCGTCGCCCTGAGCTTTCAAAGGGGACCCCTGGTTGATGGTTCCAAGGCCCGATGCTCTGAAGCTCATGAAGGACTTCGGCTTCCCCTTTGGGGACCCGAGGCCTCCAAAGGCGACTTGGCCTGCCTCAGGGTCGGAGTGAGTGAGTCCCCCCAATTTTGTTCAACCTTTGTAGGTGATTTGTGAGGTTTCAGGGAACGATGTGATGGCAACAAAGGTTCGGCTAGAAGAATTTCTTGGTTTGGTAGAAAAGTCAATGGGTTTCGGGCAATGCTGAAATCTGAAAGGGCGCTGGTCATAAGGTGCGGCGCTGGAAACATTGAATGATGTGGGGGCGGTACTACAAGGGATGCGGTTTCAGAATGCAGCAAAGGCTTCCGGCCGCTGCAAGGATTTCTATCGAGGGGGCTGGTCCTAACAAAAGCTTGGACTATAGCACAATCGCAAGCCTTTGTAGCGGTTCCGTCATCCTTGACGGGCGGACAATCAGACTTTGCACCGCGTTTCCTTGCGGATTGATGGGGACCCTCGCTCAGAAGTCGTTGGGATGATTTCCCAGGCATGTCTTTTGAGGCTCTTTTCCGGATTTTATTGTTATCATACACAATGTGACTTCAAACAGCACCGCGCTTACACACACACACACGTTCCACACTGCAACTTGTTGGAAAGACCGGGACGCGACCGGCTGAGGTGCCCGTCGTCCGAGATCCCTGGGCAAGATACAAGAAGAAGGACAAGAAGAAGAAGCGCTAGAGGACGCTTCGACGCTTCGTGTTGCTTTGTTATTGTCTTTCGACCCGCTGAAAGGACTGACGCGCTGGTTCTCCGGGAAGCAGAGCAGCATGCCCACTGATTTACAGTTGTTCTCCTTGGCCAGTACTCTTGGTATTCTGCAACAGTAAATGTCATGAACCTTCCAGGGTGTATGATTCCAGACTTGCTAGCTTCTCCTTGAGTTTGAAGAAGCACGCGCATGCTGCTTTCAAAGAGAGGACAAATGCGCGCCGAGTGAGAATGTTGCACAAGAGCAGTCTCAACGATCGCAACTCAACTGCAATCCTAGTTTGCCAGGCCCTTTGGCTTAAATGCAAAATGCGGCTCAATCGCATGGATATGCCCAGGTGTTTTGCAATGGATCATTGAGGTCTGACTTGCAATTGCCAGAGCTCACAGACAGTTCCGATTCCAAGCTTTCCCTTAGCCTTGCAAGCCTTGCGCCTCGCGAGCCATGGAAGCCGTGTGGCCTCGACCCAGAGCCATGCGTTGCCAAGTTCCAGGCCTTGGCTCGAGGAGTGCCAGAGTGCCCGAGTGCCGGCTTTGGGGGGCTTCTTGTGAGGGGCCCTTTTGGTCGCTTGGAAGGGACATCAAAATACAAGAACCCGGAGCGAACCCCCCCCCCTTTAGGCTTCTTTCGAGCCAGGGCCCCTCTAATCGAGTTGCGCGAGGGTTTGGACACCCTCAGCTGACGCCCTTTAACACAAGCAACGCGCAGAACATGGCAACTCGCACAAACCAAGACCAGACAAGCACAAACACACACACAGACAGACAGCCCGACAAGCCACAAAAGGCATCAACCTTGCCGACCGGATTCCTCCTTTCAGGAGCCAAAGGCGGAAGCTCGTCCCGCTTGCGCTAGCGCTGTTCTGCCTCAGATGCACGGCCTTCACCTCAGCTGCAATCAGTCATTAGAGTTCATGTCAAAGAGTCGAAAGGTCGTTGACTCCTGGTAGCTTCTGCCACAATGGAGGGAGCATAATTTTGAGACATATCCATGGAGTGATGGAAGCAAAGGCCAGTTTTCGGCTGCTCAAGCTTCTCAGCACGCCATGCAAAGGCCCAGTTTTGGGCCTTCCTGCCGGCCACCCTGAGACTCAACGTCACTGCTTTGATCTTAGTCTTCATGTCTCGTTTTCAAAGGGAGCCCCACAAAGTGGATGCTTTTTGAGCGGTCCGGGGGGTCTGGGTGCTGGAAGCTTGCCTCAGGCGCGTCCAGAGTACGTCTGCTGCTGATCCGGGCGTTGCCACGATTAAGATGCGCAAGTTGCACCAGGATGCCGGTAGACTTGTCACCTCGTGTTGTCAAAATGATTACCTTGATGTTTGATGGGAGGCAAATCCAAAGTAGACCATGACTATGATGGATGATGGCAACGTTGACCCTGGATTAAGCAACCGGGCGGATTAAACAAGAAGGGGAAAAATACATTGGGATGCCCTATCACTGAACCAGGGACTTAGTCCCACATCAATAACGCACAATGCTGCCCAGGCCTTGCGGCCAAAAGTCGCCACCGGCTCAACACCCCAGAGCCAGGAGGCGCAGGCGCCTGCACAGGTGCGGTGCCTGGGGTGGCCGAACGGAACATAAAATCAATGTGTAAAGTTATAGTACACATGTTGGGCGCCTTCAAATGGCACATGTCGCAAGGTAACCTGCCGTGTCCAATGTGTGTGTGTGTGTGTGTGTGTGTGCGCGTTCCTCTTTTGTATTGGTACAGGGAAGCCAGAAGACAACTGTTTTGGGTTCCCAATATTTTGACATTCCTGTGTTATGTTGGATGCTGCGAGGTGAAAGAGGTGGACGCGGAGCCTTTGACGCCCGAGGAGGAGCGCCAGCGCTTGTCAGCTGAACGCCGCAGACTCGGACTGGGGGGGAATCCACGTGTACGAAGGCCAAAAGGAATAGGACAACGAACGGTCTCTTGTTGGCGGGTTCGAAAAGGAAACCAACGTGCGATCTACGATACTTTGGGTTTTCGAAAACTTCATCTGGGGGTTCAAACCACATCGACGCCAGGCTCTACCAGTCTTTTTTGAAGCTTTGTCTCTGTTGATTCTGGAGTTGGTTAGCCTTCTTGGTCATCGCAAGTGCACCATGGAGCGCCTCAAAGGTATCGCGACTCTGAAGGCGGCTGCCAGTGAGGCGTGGGGGTCTGTGGCCAAGTGTTCGGCTTCGACGGCAGCCATGCCAACGGATTGGAGCCGGAGCTATCGCAGCCGCCGGAGCCAGGGCGATCTTCAGAAGATCATCGAGGCCCTTGGCTTGCCACTCTGGCTCTTCCCGGTGCTGGAGGCTCTTTGTTGGCACTGGTTGCTAGCGCAGATTACTCCCTATCCCTATGTTTCCCAAACAACCCCTGTCCGTGAACGAGCAAGGTCTTTATCGCCATCGGGGAGTTAGGCATCATCTACTTCTGGGTGAAGCTTCTGCCTCCGGAGCCGGGGCCTCGCTTTTTGCCTGGGTTTTCTGGGTCTCGGCTTGATGCACCGACTGTTTTCTCCGTCTTTTCTGCTGTCCATTCTGGGGGGAGTGGTCACAATTTTGGCCCGCCAGGGTGTTAAAAGGAGTTCAGCTTTAAAGCACCCCTCCCTTTCATCTTCGGCCCCCTCGCCGCCCTCGCCCCTCTCAGGATGTTCGGCTGGCTGCCACCGGAAGCGAGGCTGTGGCCTGAGAGTGAAATGTTCAGCCCAGATCCATCGCGAAGCGCGAAGGTCCTTCCTTCAGCTTGGAGTGACGGAAGTTCCGTGAGGGCAGAGGAGGGCAGAGGAGGAAAAAGGGCGAACTGAGTGCTTGAGAATTTGTCGATGCGAGAGACTTGATTCAGGGAGGTCTTCGATGTGTGTGGCAATTGGAGACTATTATTGGCCCAGCAGCCATTAAGGGTCAAGATAGTGAACACATTGTCATTGGGACAACTCTTGCAGCGAGGCTCGATTGGCGCCGGTCGTTTGTTGAAATCAGGCTTAGCAGTATAGCTGTTGCTGTTTGTACTCCACTCAGGCTTCCTGGTAGGGATTGATATTACTATGAAAGAAATGCACTCCATTTGTCTCGGATCGTGTTGGTTGTTTCAAGCTATTGTAGGTGATTTTTGTGGCTTGGCTTTTCCGTTGCGAACCCGTCTCACGTAACCCCGACCCTGAACCTTAAGCCCTGAACAATCCAAAGCAATCCTCTTCTCCAACCCATCCACCCAAAACCAACCTCATCCTAAACCAGTTCCAAATCAACCCGTCTACACACCATTAATCCCACCCTAAACGCCGCCACATCCAAGCAAATCAACCGGAAATCCTGTGACATATCCTATTCTTTGTTGGCCCAGCATGACCGTTTGGTGTCGCCATTTTTTGTTTGGCCGAGCCGCAGCAACAAAAACCCAAACAACAAAAACACATTCGGGTTTGCACCTATTTATCAACGCCAGTATTTTCATCGTTTCATCCAAGCTTAAGTATTTGCTAGCTTAAGGCTTCCCTAAAGTTGAAAGCTACGACAGCTGGAACAAAGCGAACAACACCAACTGCACCCAAAGTAGTGTGCGTTTTGTGCAGCTGATCGAGGCTCTTGCACTGCCTTCCAGTGCTGGAGCAGTCATGGCAATGTAGCCTGCTGGTAGGTGTGGATATTGAAGAACGGTGCAAGAAATTGGCACCTGCAGGATTGCATGCAGTGAGGAGTGGCAAACAAAATCATCACACTGTCACGCAGCAAAAACAGCTCCCTGAACAGGATGTGCATCCCTATGACTTGTGTTGCATGGGTCGGTAGTACGGCCTATATAAACCTTGATAAATGTACCCATGTTCGTAGAGCCATGAGTCAATAGGTTTGGTCGCTGCTCAAGTGTTTCATTGGGCTTGTGCTTAAGAACTTACGACTTTTGTTTCACTCAAGTTAAGCCAGCCTCACAAACAGGTGTTGAGAGGCCATGCGGCGATGCTCAGCAGGCCAGGCGTGCGAGTCGTGTACCTGACACATTTCTGCTCCATGAATTTTGCTGGGAAATACCCTCTCAATGGTAGGACACAATGTCCTCCAAGGGGCCCCAGAGACACACACATCCCAGTGGCTTCAAGTTTTTGATGCGGCTGCGTCACATCTCGCTGCAGGTTCCTTGACGGTCCTGGCGCTGGTTTGCTACCTGGGAGGCCAGCCTGTCTATTTCTGACCTGTGGTGCTGGGTTTGAACTCCTGAGCTTGCAAGTTGCTTGGCCACCTTTCCTTGTGCGGGATTGCATGGATTGCATGTCGGATGTTGTGGCCAGGGGGTTCCTGTGATGCGCTACATAATCTTCCATTGGTTTCCTTTGTCTCAGCTGCGGTCTTGTGAGTTGTGTTTGGACCCTTGGTCCTTGTACGGGATTGGCAGGCAACTGGCTCTTTGCATCTCCATCAAGAGGGCAAGTGACTCGACGAGCTGCTGTGATGCTGCCAAGTCTTGAAAGAGGGACAAACTTGCTAGCTTCACTGGATGCAACAGCCGCAATCTTGTGCACCTACATAGATGCGTGTGTGTGTGTGTGGTGTGTGTGTGTGTTTTGTAAGATCTGCTTTTTTCTTTCGAACGCTACAGGACATGAAGCATGCCGGTAACCAAGGGTTCCTTTTGACAGTCGTTTCGCCATAGAGTTCTTGGCATTTGCCAAGTTTGTGAAATTTGTCGAATCCGTTTCTTCCAATCCGAAGGTCTTGGGCCATAAACTCGCCAGGACCCCGCGAAGCCGCGAGACCTGGAACCTCAGCTTAGCCCGGAAGATGTCTACGAGATGCCCCGGCCGGGGCCCAAACACAACGTGACATCCCAAAAGGGATACCGGATTATCCATTGCAAGCCAGACGCCAGGTCCCCTGAGGATGAGAAGAACATGCAATTCTGGTCGTCCGGCACTCAGCTCGGCTTGCCATCTTCTTTTGGCGCGTGGCTCTCAAGTGGCTGATGCAATGTGGGCAGGAGTGACTTTGACAGCCTGCCGGCCGAGGATGGGCAATTAGCCAGATTTGGGGATAAATGCGAAAGGTGAAGTGAAGTGGCGGATGGCTGTTTGTGAAGATCGTGGGCTCTGGGAGGGCGGGCTACTTTTTGATGTTCCCCGGAGAGTCCAGCCAACCGCATGCGACTCGCAGGAGAAGCTGCAAAGCCCCCTAGTGGTCATTGGACTGGCGCTCTTGGTCTTGCCCTTCGCATGGGGGGTCTTCTTCCTGGTGCCTGCTACATGATTGCTAGAGCAATCAACACCTGGATGAAGCTGGGGGACAGTTGCAGTTTGATTCTTTATGTGGCAATTAACCCCTTCAATACGAGTTGCTCATTCCAAGAGGGAATTTGTTGGATGCACCTGGTGCCAGGTGACCGGCGGCGGGCTTGATGAGTGAGCTCGCATGATCCTCTGGCAAGAGGAGGTTTCAAGCGGACATGGAGCCTGCAGACGTGAATCCTCGCTTGCAGGCGCAGTATGTTCTCAAAACCTGCATTCAATCCATGCGAGCACTGTCAGTATTCCAGTGCTGGCATGCTCCAAATTTGAATCTATTTTTCTGCCACGTCTCACCTTTGTGATCGGCAAGTTCGGCAATTCTTTTACTTCCCTCCGGAGGCATTTGGTGTTTGCGCGGATCCAAACCAACTTGCGCGGCATGTGCATTTGCAAGTTAGGAGGGGATCCCAGACTGTGCCAACCAGCCGTCAGTGGCTCCCAGGGCTTCGGTTGCTCTGCTCACGCGTGGCGGACATTAGCCATGTCGCCGCCGGCGGGGCGCTGGGAAGAGACACGCAAAGTCTCTTTGGTTCTGCGCGGTTCTTGTTTTTTTGGTCCACTTGCCGGAGTCTCCCTGTTTTCGAAGGCAAGGATGCTGGTATGACCAGTTGTAAAGACCACTCTCCGAGTTGGGGAGCGGGAACAGCTTTGACTTAGGGTGTGGATCATATCCTTTGTTCTATTTGTTGCTCAGCTCGTTGCAAGGATGTTCTCATACCCGAGTACAACGACAAGGTGCGCTGGACATCTCACAATACCTTTCGTGAGGGCTCCAAGTATGATTTCTAGAAGGAATCACCCTCAACAAATGGTAATCCAACCTTGTAAACGATGTGCACCAAAGAGTCCACTTCCATTATATCAAGTCTCCCAGCTTTGCAGGCCCTCTTCTTGCTGCTGTCTTCCCTGGATGGTGATGCGCCATCTTCCTTGCCCCCAGGCCAGTGCCCGCCAGCGCACCTCCCTTTGGCGGTGCAAAAACGAACACTCCGCAGTTGCCAGGCTGGGACAAGGTGAGCGCCTTCCAGCGCTTGTCCGCGCACCTGCAGTTTTGCCAGCTCGCTTTGGGGGAATCTGAAAGGTGTACCCTTTTTGTGCTGCAAACGGAAACTGTAGGAAACCAATCATTTCCAGGGTCCCTCTTTTTTGACAACCCAGCTGGTTTGAGCCAGGTTGATCGACTCGGAGATCACCAGAAAGCTGAAAGGCCCCGCGTTTTCCCTTGAAGAGCCGCGCGCTCGCGAAAATCTCCGAAAGCGAACGTGCAGGGCTCGAGGATCTCAACTCCCACCTCGCCGCCCTCTCCGGACAGGAGAGGGAAATCGCGTGGATCACTCCGCGTCACTGCGCGATCGAGCCAACTTGAGAGCAGAATAAGTATGAAATGATTAAATGTTTTGAGCTCCTCCCCAAGGCCAGCGCTTTCTTTCCAGGCGCAGTCCAACGAAAAGCACGTTGCATGAGTTCGGCTCCCATGCTTGACCTCCAGGACCCGAAGCCAGCGGCTGCCAGCGCAGGCCTATGCCGCAAGGGATGTGTGAGGCTGTACCCTGGGTGGTTTTCTGTACCCGTTTCCGATGTCCCGAGTTGCGCCTTTGGCTTTAGTTAAGTCTTAGGTAGGGCTGACGACTCTTGAGCAATGGCGTCGGACCGAACTCTCAGCTCGTTTCGGAGGTCGGTGCGCACCCTGCGAGGCACGGCAAGCTTTTTTTTTGGTCATTCAGACAAACACGGAACAACTTCACGCAAGCTGCAACCTGCGAATAAACATGGAAGTGCAGAGACGGACAGACCCCCTATGAAAGCTTCCGGTCTTTTTGACAACCAATGCACTTCCCCACCGCTGGCCATTTGAGAGGCGGAACTGACGGCGAGGGGCTGTTCGGCCGGCAGTGCGAAACCCGGCACATTCAGGGCTGCAAAAGGTCCATTTCCCACCGAGTGGCATTTGCCCCCAAGCAAAATAAACCCAGTGAGGTGTCCTCTTGTGCTAGCCACGTCAGTCGAACAATGTTCTCACTTACCTACGTGCCCAGATTCCTTCCGTGGCTCGGGGTGGACTCCTGTCCTTTGATGCCGGGGGCGCTTCCTCAGTCTTCTGACGAAGGGCCCATGAAGCGAATCTGGTAGATTCGTTAAAGTTAAGCCAGGATCTCTCTTTAGCACTGGTTTCTCGCTTGCCTCCACGCGCACGGCCGCATTCCTCGGCTTGGCTAAAGGTCAGACACAGACTCAGACAGGCCCACCAAGTGCTTGCCTCAGGAATGAAAGGGATTCAGGTCCCCGACCGCAAAGAGATTGAACATGGCATGGCCATCCTCCCTGTGAGCCAGCTGAATGAATCATTGGCGGCGTTCAGGTTTATTTCTGTTGCCTCAGGTGATGCATACACTCCAAGAGTGGCTATGGCCCCAACGGGGACACCAACGGCCGCCGCCCCGTTCATTCTGTGTTGATTGTGTTGATCTAGAGCATATTTCACATTTGCCACGGTCAATCGCCGTTCGCCAGATGGTTCAGAGCTGAGCTGGATAGCCATTTCAGCTGTCGGCAGGCCGATTTAGCCACTGTAAGGAGTTGTCCCATCGCCCAACTGGATTGTAGCAAGAGCCGCAAATTGAGGATTGCCGAAAGCCTTTGCAATCAGCCCCCATGCAAGCAAGCCGAGGCGCAGGCGCAGCGGTGAAACTGGCGCGTTTGGTCTCGCTTCCCAATGGCTGATTCTTTGCGTGGTTTCTTTTGGACATGAACTCACAAGTGGTCCCTGGTTTTGACATATCCCCAATACAAGAGAGACATTAGGATTGCTCTACCCCCACAAAAGGCTTTCAGAACCTTTCCGTCTTTGGTCTCTTCCCCACCGCTGAATGGCAGCCTTGTGATGGAGGTGTGAATTTGTGATGTGTTGATGAGACTCGCTGGGCGGCTGCTCGCTCTTGGGCCCGATGACTATGGAAGCTGCCAGATTGCCAGTTGACTGCCGCACAAACACGGGTGACACCTAAGAGTACTTCCTTCTTTCTTAGGAATATATAAATGGCTTCGTGGTGTGACGCTAGACAGCTTGATGGCTAGATTGCCTCATGGCTAGTTTATTACACGTTTGGCTGGCTGGAATACTGGAATGCTAGCACACCCGATTGCTAGCTAGATTAGCCAAGGCAAGCATCACTGCCAGACGAGCACTCGAGCAGCAATAATGCTGTACCCGTGATGCAGAGCGAATGTGAAACGGCACAAAACCAGGATCGACAAAATGATTGTAGGAAAGGATCGAAACCACTGAACAACCCAAGTATTCAGTGATCATGCAAGGCACATTTTGATGAGACAGATCCTGTTATGCCGCCATCAGACCTCTCGCTGGGTTTTTGTAAGAACACAAGGACTTGCCGCAAGTGGCTACTTGTTTGTGTGTCAAAACTGGGGACAGCGGTTTTGAAGACAAGCTCTGCGCAATCCACAATTTTTGACATGCCATTTGGCTCTCCAAAAATGGCTCCTTGTTGTGCTTGACGTACAGGAGCTGGGCTGCCGAGACCTTGGTGGAGTTGAAGGATTCGGTAGAACCGGTTGAAACGCCAGACCATGGGCCCCCATAAGGAAGAACCCACAGTATCTTCAGCTCAACCCGGTTTGTCACTCGCAAACTGGCGAGGGGACATGGAGTAGAGCAACTTCCCGGCGGAGAGAATTGATGCATTCACATTAATATGCAGGTGCATCATGATGGGTTGCCATGTTTGCCTTGACGGTCCTTGGTCCTTGGAAGAAATTATTTTCTTGCTGTCCTACATCCGTGGCGTCGCCTTGAGGCCAGCCCCACCCCGACCTTGCAACGTCTGGCATCTGCACCTGCGGGCTGGAAAGGAGCCCGGGTCTACCAGGCGCCACTTTGCCTCACGGCTTTGCACTGCTCTCCCCCAGAGTACAAAATGATCAAGTTCCATCAAGTTCCCAAATTTCACCACTGCGAAGTTGGACGTCCAAGCTTCAATTGGCGGAGTTGTCAGGTTTTCTCAGACTTGCAACGTCGCTTAGTTGATGCCAAAAGACCCTTGTCGATAAGGAGGACCCAAAATGGGTGGTGTCTTTGGTTTTCCTTTTGAACAAAGGCACCTCCACATCCAACGCTGACGCCAGATGACGGGCACGGCCTCTGCGGGGCACGTGGGCGTCATGGCCCCACGGGCAGTGCTGGCTGCTCAGCAAGGCTGTGGGGTATCAGGGTTGGTTATGGACCCTTTAGCCATTTCGAGTGTTTCAGCCACTTGAGCCAGGGGTCAGAACACCCATTTAGACAGGACTTATTACGGAGGACTTATATTAGCATTTTACACAAACCTGAGACAGGTTCCTACTGCACCCCCTCCGGCTCAGCCCGCCGATTTCTGCTAGTACACGCGCCATGTTTGTCAATCTCAGGGGGTGCGTGCGCGGTCTTTCACCAATCCTCACCCGTCAACCAGAACACTGCCAAACAGCGCCCTGTCACCCCCACCCTGTCACCCTGAGCCCGCGCCCTGCCAACCAGCACCCCGCCAACATCCTTAGCAGCACCTGGCTCAGAGTAAAAAACCCTATAGCTTTAACTTGTCCGAGAAAAAGATAAACACCGCCAGCCAACTTGTTACACTGACAGACCCAGACCCAGGTGACTGGTCCATCCCAGCAGGAGTGGCAACAATGACAATATATATATATATATATGGAACAGCGACCAAACATGTATCACTGACGATCCAGTGCCAAAGTCGTCTTTTTTCCTATTCAAACGGCTGTTTGACTCAGAAAGTACAGATCCAGTGCCAAAATCGCCTTTTCCTAGTCAAACGGCCGTTTGATTCAAAAAGTACAGATCCAGTGCCAAAATCGTCTTTTTTCTAGTCAACCGGCCATTTGACTCACAATGTACAGATCCAGTGCTGTTTCCTAGTCAAACGTGCCTGGAAACTGCATGTTTGGGCCGAAAACAATGCGCTGTCGAGCTTGTTTATTGTTTTGGTCAGGGTTGTGCCAAGTTTTGGCGCGGTTATTGCCAGTCAGTTACAACCCCGCCTCGGTCCACCCCTTGAGCTCGTCCAGGCACTCCTTCGCATTCTTAGGCTTTGTTTACAGTCGCAATCCAGTTTCTACTTTTTTTAGAATTAGTGTGCTGCTGCTTCGGCTGCGCAGGCTGCCATGTCCTGCGCTGGGTTTTCTTGCTCCAGACATGAACATGAACTTATGCTGCACTTTGGGGGGTGATCCTGTCATGTCCGCTTGAACTTCTTTGGTTGTGGCTTCTGAAGCAATTGCACTTGTACAGGCGAGCCTTGCACAAACAACACGGTGCTGCTTGAAATATGTTTTTTGTATGGGATTTTCACAGGTTGTTGGGGGTCCCTGAGAATCTGTGTTGCAGTTTTGCTTGCGTACCAGTTGTTAAGTTGTTTGTTTAAGGGAAACAGAAAGAGAGCCCACCCAAGTTGGGGATTCTGTGACTTTTTCAGACAGACTGGTTTCCGATGATTGCCGGAACACTCAGTTGCCATTATGCTGAATTTGTTTGAAGACATGTTTTGGGAAACCCTCCACCCTGACGGGTTGTTAGCCAGCGGTGCGATGGGGAGACGGTGAAAAGCTTTGATTCTGCCGCCAGAGTTCATAAGTCTTAGACATTGTTTGTTTCGTTCCTACAAGGGAAGTGACTCACAGTTGTGCTTTTGCTCTCTTCGAAACTGGACACACAACGGAGAAATCCCTATCTCTCCGACTGAGGTCTCCCTACACGGCGCGGGCAGGCTCCGTAGGCCATAGTGGGCCAATGGGGCGTCTGCCCTTTTTGTGGTTTCATAAAGCCAACGGGAAGTCACCTAAATCACCCATATTGAGGGCGGCAGGTCCGTTCGGAGAATTTAATGAGACAGCCAGGGCCCCAAGGGCCGCGTCATCCTGCGCCGGTGCTGATGCAAAGTGTGCAAGGCAGGGCACGGTTGCAAGAGAGGATTGCTCAGAGGGCGTCAACTTAGGCTGTTTTCTTTTTTTGGGTTCGTTTTGAGCCCACGCAGGGTTTCTCAGAGGCCCACTGCTCAGGAATTTGTCCCACTCCTGGCAGCCCGCGTGTGGTGCTCACCATGCCGGTGGCCCAAAACGGCCGGCTCGGTGTCACGAGGCGATTCTTACCTTCCATGTAGATTTTGAAATGGCATGGTGATGTCTCATTTTTGTTGCATTACACAAGGATATTGTACCCATTGGCCCCATTTGGTGTTGTTTCCAGCTGAAAACTTATTATTTCGGCCAAAATGGGTCAGTTCTCAACCTTTTGGATAATTTTCGGCCGGGAAATTATCTATCAATTCGTCAATCAATTCAATTTTTCTTCGTATCTACCAATTCAAGTCAATTCAATTCAATTCAATTCAATTCACAGCCCTGCTGACGATTCCCTGCGGTAGAGACGGCACGGCGATGCAACCGGCCCCTGGGAGCAGCCCGCATGACGATGATGCGCCCTGCCGTCGTTCCAACTGATTCGAGACTCCGAGTTCCAGGGCATGCCGTTATGCAGCGTTGCTGCAGTTGGGACGTGCAGCAAAGGGGGAGCGCTCGATGACAGAGCCGATGTGCCCCTAGAACTTCAAACTCCATTTGCATGGTCGCAATTGTCTGTCAGGGCTCAAAGCAAGACCCATCGAATCATGGCTTCTTTTCTTATACCGACGCCTAGCACATGGAAATGGAGAGCTGGATATGAACGGACTCACGCATTCTTTTTTGGGGGTTCTGGGATATTGACCCTTTGAGAAGATGACAAATTCGACGCAAGGAGGGAGCCAGGCTCTTATGACTATGTGCCCTTCTCCAATTTAGGCATGTGGGTGGCATGTCTTGAGATGGGGACCCCACAAAAGATGGACTTTCCCTCAGTTTCCCTTTAGATCAGACCGAATTTGGCCAGCCTCCTCGACTCCTCGCCCCGAGGAGAGGCAGCTCCCCCGACTCCAGGACCCGTTGCGCCAGCCCTGTGGCAGGCGCAGCGCGCAAGCCGGGGCTGGTTCGGCGGAAGAGGGGGGTGGTTTGAGCGGTTCCGGGGAGCTTTGCCTAGCATAACGAAATGGCACCACTCAAGGGGTTAAGAGGCACCTCAACCGGTTCGATTGTTGCTGAAAGATTGCAGGCGTTTTTTGGTGTCAGGGCACTTGCTTTTGGGGTCAGGGCTTCATCAGATGCCGCCTACCTACACCAGACCTCCCAGGCGCTTGAGATTCTTGCCTTGAATGAGCAGCATTGCCAATGCAAGGGAGCCTTTGGCTGCCAGGGCAGCCGCAAGCCCGGTGCCGGCGGTCAGCCAGCCCTTGGCCCGAAGTTATCACTTGCTCCAAAGGGTTGATCTCTTTCCCATTTTGCCCATGCCTTCTGCAAGGTCTTGGCATCCTCACAGACCACCTCCGCAAGAGCTCGCCTTAGCATGCGAGCCATCTAGCAAGAACATATCACGTAAGTGGCGAGCAGATTTGGGCGCTTTTTGCTGGGGTTTGAGGTCAGCTCTCGCTTTGTTCTGGTGTCCACCTACGGGCAGGAGGCATCGGATTCCTGCCCCGGGCATGACGAGCAAGGCCCACCTTTGCCATTCACACGGTACTTTACCAGAGGTTCATGATACAGCCCATTTTCCATACAGGCTTACCCCACATGGATTTCCAGGGATACAACCTCAAGAATTACAACCAAAACGAGGAAAACTAAGAAAGAGCAAAAGCGAAACGCGAAACAAATTTCTCACCTGGGCCCATGGGGCCACTGACGAACAGTCGCCAGGCCCCGCGCATGGAGAGGTGCGCCACGCCGCGGCGGGTGCCTTCGAGGCCACCGGCCGCAGGCGGATCCCGGACGGGTGGTGCCACATGGGTTTGGATTCCGATCAAAATGGGCCAAATGGGCCAAACGGACCAAATGGGTGTGTGTCTTGGGTTGGAATTCTTTGGTTCACTGGTTGTGAGTCGATGTGTTTCTTGGCATTCCGTTTCATTTGGGTGTTTCGGGCTCTCCATATCGGATACGGAACTCGCAACATGGGTTGGTTTCCCCTTCGGTTTCCCTTCAAAACCAAGCAAAAGGAAGTTCCCCCAACAAAGAGACATCCACATTTGACGGCTTCCAGACCAAATGGCTCAGATTTTGCATGATCGGGAAGCTCCAAAATGAGTGGCTGCTGGCCGTGCTTGTTCGGCGACCCGTGTCAGGGTTGTGCTGGGTGCTGGTCAAGAGGCTACTCTGTGTGCTCAAAGCGCTGTGGTTGCTGGCTGTGCTTGTTGGGCGACGTGGTGAAGGTGCTTTTGTTGTTGCTGGTCGTGGTCTTGGTGTTGTTGTGGGTGCCGGTCAGGGGATGTTGTGCTTATATGTCGCGTAATTGTTTGTGACATCATGATGCGGTCAACATCATCATGATGCTTCTGATTTTATGAGGGCGCTGTTTGCGCTTATATAGCGCATAGTGGCTCGTGGCTGTCGTATCATCGCGACGCTGTCAAAATCATCATGATGCTGCTGGATGTATTAGCACACTGTCGGTGTTCCATCATTGTGATGTTGCTGAATTCATTAGGACGTTGTCTGTGAGAATGTGGTGCGTAATGGTTTGCGGCTGTGGTATCATCATGATGCTGTTAAAACTATCATGATCGTGGTGCGTCGATTGCCAGAGTTGCCAGCATCCTTTCTGCTAAACCCGAGGCTGGAAAGCAGCGGAAAGGATCTGCATTTGTCCTAACAGCACATCAAGCATACCAGTCTTCTAAGCTTCCTTTGACAATCATAGCATGCCAACGAAGGGTCCCTTGCAACAGCACAAGGTCCCCAACTTGTGGAACTGCCTGAATGATTAGAGCCCTCCAAGATGGTGTCCGATGGCTTTCCAGCAGCAACACCCACAAAGGGGCTCTCATCTCGACAAGCCCCACGCAAACCACAATTGAGGCCATTGTGAGGCTCATGCAGGCTTTGACCATGGCATTCATTGATCAATTCCTGGGAGGTGCAAGCCCTGGCAGGCCGCCTGAGACTTCAGCGTTGTTTAGTTTGCGCTGTCGGGATGTGGGAGGTTTTGACATGGGTTATGTTTTGTTGGCAGCAAGGCCTTTCCTGGGGTTGAGCTTCGGGCGGGTGTAGTGCATGTGAAAACTAAGGCAAGTCTGCTTGCGTATGCATGATGAGTCAAGGCAGCGGCTTACTTTGCAGGCCTGCATACTTGCAGCGCGTTCACACGCCTCGTACGTGAAGTGAGGGTACAAGGAATTGCGCCAATGATGTTTCACGCAGTCAATGTGGATGTGGCTTGGGATGATGACGCAGGGAACATGACCATCCTTGGATCGTCATCCATGTGACTGTACGGCGGACGCCAAAGAAGCTCCTTCTCAGTCAAGAAGCTGGAAGCATGTCAATGTGCACGTTCAAAATGGCCAGTCCTTCGACATGCAAAGCCACCAAATCCCGAGATGCGATCTGCAGGCCTGTTAACATGTTTCATTATGTTTCATGGTCTGCTCTAAGGCTGCAAAGTGGCCTGGCCAGCCTTTGCGGCTCACTTGAAAGCGGCAGACAAGTTGACAAGGCTTACGTGACACACTGAAGACCGTTCACCATGCTAAACCAAGCCAGTGGGAAGCCACCAGATAGCCGAGTTTCTGTTTGGACAGACGGGCGGGCAGTTTTTCCGCAGCCCTTGCTATGGTCTCTGCTTGGCGAAGGCTGTTTGGGCACTTTTTTTGCCAGTGCAACTGTTTGCCATCAGGTCTGGCCTTGGCAGCCTGCT